CTGGCGCAATGACATTCCTCCCGAGAAGCTCAACCTTGGCATTGGTTTCTACGGTCGCTCTTTCGAGCTGACGGACCCGGCTTGCAACAAGCCTGGATGCCAGTTTCGCGGAGGTGCAGCTCCTGGTCCGGTAAGTTGGTGTTCTTACACTTGAGTATGGATGAGTTCATCATTCATTTACTGACAGTTTGAAATCAGTGCACTGCAAATTCTGGAACGTTGGCGTACCGTGAGATTGAGGATATCATCAAGAAACACAATCTCAAGCCGTACTACGACAAGGAGCACCAAATCAAGTACATTGTTTGGAACCAGAACCAATGGGTTAGCTACGTATGTGGAGTCATTTTATCGCATCAAGTTGATGTCAGCCTTCGTGAAGGAAGGCATATGCTGACTTCATCTAGGATGACCCTGAAACCATCGAGGCCAAGATCGATTTTGCAAACGAGCAAGGCCTCGGCGGGCTGCTGATTTGGTCGGTAAGTCGGCACACCCGTCATTCATTGCATATGCATGCCATCTGGCTTCCCGAAGAACACGGATGCACATCGAAATCATGCTTGGGTATTGACTGCTTTCTAGATTGACCAAGACACGGACAACCTAGACGCCCTCGGTGCTGTCGTTGGCCCGACCACCAAGGCGTTGGCTTTGCGACAAACCCTTTCTGAAGATGGAGCGGCCACATGGGAGCAGCTAGGAGCCCAGAATTGCTACGTCACTGGTTGTGGAGGCAAGTGCGACAAAGCTGGCTTCAAGGCCGTCACAACTCAACCATGTGGAGATGCTACGTTCTTCACGCGACACTCCTCCGAAGAAGACAGCACGCTCTGCTGTCCCGTCAACTCTGCACCGGATCCGAAGGACTGTAAATGGTAAGACCTACACCTTTGTCTATTGTCCCAAACCATGTCGCTGATAGCCATATAGGAGAAGCCAAGGCGACGCACCAACCTGCAATGGCCGTTGCGAATTTGGCGAGGTCGGCCTCCAAATGAACAAATGGGGCGACGGCAAGTACTGTGAAGACGGAAACAAGATGTACTGCTGCAAAACCAAGGCCGAGAACAGCGACGGCGACAAGTGCAGGTTCCACGACAATGGAAAAAAGTGCCCAAGCGGACAAAAGGCACTCACCTTCTCTGGCGCGTTTGGGAACGGCAACATTGGCGAAAAGTCTCCGGATGTCGATCTCAAACATCTCCAGAGTCTCACGGGTACGGCGCTCGAAGATGCCTTAGACGAATACACGTGGAAGAAGATCAGTCTCTGGTGCTGCGACGACGAAGAGTTCAAGAAGTGGAAGAACTGCGAATGGAAGGGCAAGCCCGGAAGTTGTTTCGACGCTCACTGCGACCTTAACACGGAGGTCATGCTCACCTGGGCCGGAGCCGGTGGTGGTGAGATGTGCTTCCCGCATCCCGACCCGAATCGCGCGCGTATCTTCTGCTGCGATCCGCCTAGTGGCTCTAACCTTTTCCTCCCGGCGGCCCTGAAAGACCTGTTCCCCGACCCCCCTACCGGTAACGATGTCAAGACCAAGGGCAACACAAAGACAGACGACACCTGGGGCGGCTCGCAAACCGGCGGCAGCAACGACGATCCGAACAAATCTGCTATTCAATTCTACGTCATGGCCAGTCCTACAGAAATCCAAGTCACCCTCGACAAGCGCGACGGCTCCCACTGGGAGCTCTTCAACTGCAACGATGCTCACTCTCTTAGCGTGCAGACTGTTCAGATGGTGTGCATGAACGATTCTGAGGATAGCAACTGCAAAGAGCTTTTCCTCGGAAATGGTGCACCAGGAACCATCATCGAGATGCCGCAAGATCAGGGCTGCGGACCGGGCAAGTATGCCGTCGTTGAGAGCCTGGAGGTTTCCCATAACCAGACGTTGCCGGGACACCTCACTCGACGAACGGCAAGCCCGCCCGTGATCTATGACCTCACGTTTGGCTACAACTTTAAGCTTGTTCCTAGAGAGTACGGCGACACACAGCTTCGTATCGATTATTCGTGAGTACCCCTATTCTTCACATTTAGTAATTCATCCTAACCTCCGTCGTCCACACAGGAACCAGGAGGGCTACTGGGACCATATCGTCACCCGCCCGGTATCGAAGAAGCGCAAGAGGTCCCTCGAAGAATTCGGTGGCAACCACAAGAGATGGCTCGAAGAGGAGTGGCGCGACGATAACCACTTTGGCGGTCTGTCGAAGAAGGATCTGCATAAGCGATGGTTCGGTGACGACGTCCTCGAATGGCTGGAGAGTCTCGTTGAAGTCGAGATCGTCAAGACGGAGAAGCGCCATCTCTACGAGGAAGACCTCTCCGCAGTCTTATTGCGAGAAGAGTGGGACTGCGGTGAGTTCAAGGGCAAGATCGACGCTGTCGCGACTGCCGGCATCAAGATGGCAACGTCTTTCGGGTTTGCCCTCATCACGACGCTCAACTCGGAGACTGGCCTGGATCTCAGCAAGTCTTATTTGCATTTCGCCAACAAGGTATGTTTCCATTTTCGCTGCTATTCTCAGGTGTTTTTATGCATATTTCGTCGTTTTTTGTGGGTTTCATGAGACTTTGAATATGTGCTAAAGGCCTTTTTGCAGGGAAGCGTGAATGCCGTCTTCACCCTCGACGCTAGGATGTCACTACACTGGGACTCCGAAGCGTTTAACATTGCTCCCATCTATTTCCAAGGCGCCAGTTTTGTTATTCCTGGATTTGGCTCGCGTAAGTATCTTCCAATGTCTGAGAGACAATGCAAATTGAAGTAGCTCGCTGACAGAATATCTAGTTGGCCCCCGCCTCGATCTTCGAGGAGAGATCAAGGCCGACATCACGGTCGAGGGACGTGTCGAAGCCAGAGTCAACATTGTTGACTGGGACATCCAGCAGACCTACCCTCAACACACGGAGAAGTTCGATCCGAAGGAGCTTTCCGAGGCTAAGCGTGGAATTGACAGGAGAGATCTTGCCGAACCCACCTTTGATGCCGAGATGAAAGGCAACGGAGATGTTGAGTTTCATTTGATGCCCACGATGGTCTTTGGTCTCGAGTTCGACGATGTCTGGAGCATCGCCACCACCGATGTTGAGCTCGTGGCTGACACCTGGGTCCGCATGAGGGTCGATTCCGACCTCGACTGCGGCTTCGGCTATGGTGTGGATGCCGGCATGTCTCTTATCGCCCAGGCAAAAATTCCCGAGATATTCAAGTGGACTCCTCAGACGCACACATTCAAGCAGGTAACTAGGCCCTGAGATGGCTGTCCACGTGAGCAAGTTCCATCATGCTGACACAGGTCACTCAGATTGAGAAAAATCTTATTCCCGGAAATGGCAAGGAATGGCAGTGTGCATCAGGGGCAACAGAGCGACGCCTGATCGGCTCTGGCTTCAACTCAACCGAAATCACCGACATCGAGCCATTCGTTATCTCACTCCCCAGCCTGCAAAAGCGAATCATACCCTACGAATCAGACTTGAAGCCCAACAGCAAGGAGAAGACATGCCCTCCCAAGGGCGGCGCCGAAAAGCAAAAGGCATGCAATGAGATCACGGCCGTGGATGGCTTCTACGAGGGTGAGGATGACGGTTCGTGGGGCGCCGTTACTAAGCGCTCAGTTACTGCCGACGATGACTTTACGAGCAACTCGAGCACGAACCCCACGTACCAGTCGGGCCTCCTCGAACGCGACTTGGAGAAGCGTGCCGGCAAAACTCTTGCCGTTTGCGCTGGTACTGCACTCTATAATGTCAATTGGCTGGACTGGTCCTCGTTGGACCGCGGAGAAATGTTCATTTACGATAGCAACGACTGGTCCGATTGTTCGAATAGTAAGTATCAGTTGTTCTCGACGCTTATACTATCCCTTCTTTCGGTTTTCCAGCGACGTCAACTAATATCGCATTTCACAGTGGCTAGCAGCATCCAGAAACGAGGAGAGCAGATTCTTAAAAACAAGAAGGGCGATAATGAGCAATACGTTATCGAGCACGTGTTGGAAGCCCAGACTTTTCAACGCTGGCTGAGTATCGAAGGCGCAGATGGGCGTGGGGTGAGGGACCTCTGCCGAGCAATGAAAGCGGGCGATTGGATGGGCTATACCCCGAACCCTCTCGATGCCAACGGAGCCAAGGTCAACCCGATCACTTGGGTTGTCCAACAGTCCTACCCAGCAGCCAGTTTTAACCCTGAGGAATTTATCTCCGTCATTGAGCCGGTCAACTGGCAGAAGCAAAAGTCCTTTGGCTCCGGCGCTAGACTCCAAGAAGAGGCCAGCTTGGAGAAGGCGGCCCAGTGGATGGAGGGCACACCTCTAGATCAAGCACTCCGGACGCTGAAGATCACTGTAGTCACCTTCAAGTATCTTCTCGAACCCGAGCTCTCGGCGCTGTACCGCGAGCAGGCCACTCGTGTGGGTATAGCTCTGAACGTCATGGAGGATCACTTGGTTAGCGAGGGTTCCTGGACGAAGCGCAACCTCCAGCAGAGTTGGCTGAGCTTTGTCAAGACCAGCGCTGAGATCGCAGGAGGTAAGCTGGTCAAGTTGCTAGACACGTACATCCCGGTGGCGGAGAAGGTCCTCCAGGGCACCGACGCATCAAAGGATGACGATGATAGGAAGAAGAGGAGAGCCACCATCCAAGCGCTACGCAAGGTCTACGATGATGAAATCAAGGGTAAATGGGTGAACCCAATGCCGTAGACAGCTTGAAGAATAGTTTAGGTTATGCAACTCAGATGATGCTCGTACACTGTATATGCGTCCTGAAGTCTACCCTTGTAATCAAGTTAATTCAATACTGCCTGTTCGAAAAGAATAGAGATCCAAGCTTTGGTACTCACACCAATATGTGTGATACAAACCTCAAATGACAGAATAACTATCCTCTCCGAAATATGACCAGACCATATCATGGACATTCCCTTAGAGTAGCGTAGGGACGAGACGATGAGTCAAGCCCTTCATTCATTTGCATGCAACTGCTTAAGTACTGGGTCCATCCCAGAAATAGCATCCACCAGTCTCTTCGATTGCACTGATCAGATCAGGAGGCACGGTCCAGGACGCGTCAAAGCCTTGCACAACCGTGAGATACCATCTTGACCGGCTAGCATTTTCCCGTTCGAAATGTCCGCGCCGATTTGACTCTCTTTTCGCCGAGACATTCTCGACTCCCGGTGCATAATACTCGACGAAGAATGGCGACGGCTGCATTTGAAACCCGTATTTTAGAGTCCGGAGTGGTGACATCTTAAGTGTGGTTTTGACGAGAGGTAGTATATGCGGCAAAAAAACCTCGGTATCGATAGAAGTCCTCCACGAGTTCGCCGGAAAGTTCCCTGCTTCCCGTTCCCATTCATGCTCCGGAACAAAGTCGGACGTATCCGAGTCCGACGAGTCAAAAGCAGCCTCACAAGAGTCCGAGTCTGAGTCTGGCTCATTCTGATCCACATCGTCCTCTTCTTCCCCAATGCTAAGCCATTTCCCGTCGGGGGTTGTTCCGCTGGCCTCAATGTTTACCGACTCTAATAAGGACCCAAACTCTGTTGCCGCCTCAAAAGCTGCCGGGGCGATAGTCCAGAGACCCGTGAACTGCACTTTGACAATTGCAGGGAGCTGTAAGATTCTGCTTATAGCCAATGAAAGAACGTCTTCCTCGGGACTCTGACAAAATGCCCCAGGATCGGAGCTTTCGTTCAACGGGTCTGGATCTTCGAGATAAATGTCAAGGCCTTTGAGGCTGGTGAAAGCGCCATGCTTCAAGGTCTCTGCGAGAGCGAGACGGATTTCTCTTCTTGAGGACTCAAGGCGGCGTGAGGGCATGATGCAGTCCCACGTCAGAGCCTTGACGTCGGGGAGTGCCTGGGATATAGTAGTGATGCAGGCGGGATGAAGTCGTCTTTTGACGTTGCTGAAGTCTTCTCGAAGATCCACGCTGGAGATGGCCCGAACTTGTGCAAGGCCCGACGTGAAATTCAGTGTCTGGTCGAAGCTGATATACTGGAAGTCGTTACGCACATCCCAAATTGGGCTGCCAGAGTGACTGCTATCCAAGGAGTCAAATAGATCCTCGTCTGTATCCGAAGGAGAAGCGACCCTGACGACGAGAGTGATGTCGCCGGTTTTCCAATCACTCAGAAGTTGGAAAAGATCCATGATGGCTTGCGTAAAGGCAGCGTTGTTGGCGGCAGCTTCGCGGGTACTTTGGAGCTTCTTCATACGCTTCTCGCTAACGGGTGGCAGGTTGATAGTATAGTGAAGCCTCTTGACGATTTCGCGGCGACTGGTGCGGGACCCCGAGAAGTCATCTTGAAACTGTTGCAAAGACTCTTCGCTGCTTGTAACGCTGACATTCTTGAACGTGCCGTCTTCCGATGGAGTGGGTTCAGCCATTTGGACTGCGCTGGCTTGGTACTCTCTTAGTGAATGTCTTTTCCTGGCATTTGCGACAAATCACTTGTAAGCCTTTTGTGAGTTGTGTGAAGGATCAACATGTCTGCCAGACTAGAATGGCTTGCAGAAATCCCTCGGAGAGGGGGTTGCACTGCTGACTAAGAAAACCCCCCCTGTTTGCCAAGAGTATCCATCTTGTCTAAAACAGGCAGTCTTCCTTCCTCCAATACCTGCTTCGAATAGATTCCGGAACGCGTCGGGGTTTCCCAGAAGGGTGGGAGCAGGATGGATGGGCTAACAGGGCCGCGTGTCGAATAGTTGGAAATGGTTGTACATGTTTTTACATCTCGACGTTCCGATAGCGAATACTCGAGTAGAAACGTACGTTGTAAAGTGACAGAGGGCACGACTACAAAACATCTCATAACTAAATAGCCGTTTCTGAACGGATAGTCTTATTGTTTATTTGCCCAAACCTTCCGCAGATACTGCTCGGCAGTTGTATAAGGGAGATTTAGGCAACGATTCCACTCATCGGTCACTGACCAGGCCCCTCTTTCGATCCCAAGTAGGTATTCACGTAAAACATTCCTTGAGACGGCCTCGCGCATTGCAACTAGCACGCCGGGATGTTCAATCATTGGGACCCATGTCGTGCTGAATGTGTTGTCTTGCACATCTTTCAGAGACACTCTGTCGACTTGAAAGGGTCCTCCTGTGAGTTGTAAGCAAATATCTCAGTCGATGTCTTTTGAAATAAACTTACCGCGAATCGATTCGCCAAGGGCGATCAGGCCAGCAACATCAATCGTGGATCCACTCATACCACCAATTGGCGGCCATTTTCCTCCGTAGTCCAGGGCATCTGCAACCGTTGCACAAAGATCTTCAACAGTAGTTAGTGTAAATTTGGCAATACTATTGTCAACGATGATTGCCCGTCGTTGCTCGAAGTCCACGAACATGCCGAACATGGCAAAGTGTTGAGTAGTTGCATAGGGATGGGCAAAGTAGTTGGTGAAAAATCCAGGCTGGAAGAGACAATACTCTATGACCTATCATCGCTGAACATTAATTTGCAAGTTCAAGTAGCTGGGCCTCTATATCTATGTTGAAGAGAAACGCTTGCCTCTTTTGATTGATTCACCTCCTCCAGGTACTTCTGGGTTCGATCCTTGAATTGGTAATGTGCGATCTGGCTCTGGTTCGCACTGCATTTGTGTTATTAGTTGCTTCATCATCAGAAGAGAATAACTTACGCCGCCCATTCTGAGGGTGCAAATCTCCTCACGCCCATCTCAATCGCCGCATCGATCAACTTCTTTTGCACTTCGAATCCTTCGTCACTATCCGCCGTCGCAATAAAGGACAACACAGTGTCAACGCCGCGGAATGCGTTATGAATGGATGATGTATCATCATAATCCACTTGTGCGTATTGTACGTTGTGTTGAGCATTAGTGTCAGGAGCCTAAGCCTTTGTTAGCAACTCAAGATGTTTATGAACACTAGTTACTAACCTTGCGACTACATATAACAAGCCAATGATTTCCTTTCGCTATGACTGTATCAATCACTTCCCGTGCCAAGTCTGCCAGAGTCAGTCCTAGAACCGAGACCAAGCTAAGAAAAGCAAAACCCTTTCCTTCTGCAACTTGAAGAATTTCACTCACTTCCCGTACTACCAACGATCGCGACTCTTCCCATCTTTCCCACAACGGTTTTAATAATAACGATGAGTCGAATATAGGTTTTGTGGGCAATTAAAAACTTACGTAACTAAAGACCACACTGCTAATCTCTAATCCTTTATTAATTGAACCGGATGCCGCAAGGACTCCGATAATACCGTCTGCCTATTGAAATGTTATGTAGTTAGCAATGCCGGCGACTTTTGGGTCCTATTATATGGGTAGCTTTAAACACTTACTAGGTAATAGTTAAAATCCGTACCTAAGTAAAAAGTGGAGCGATATAAATAGGGGGTAGGTGTTAATTAAGATATAAGGGGGTAAGTAATAAATAGGAGAACTTACTTAATTTTAAAGTAAAATGTCTATTTAAAGCTCTAAGAGATAATATTAATAAATAATATAAAGTATAACGTAAATAATAAGCGAGCGCGCTAAATAAGCGAGCGCGCTATTAAAATAGTTTAATATAACTATTCGACCTTTTTTTTATTAACTACGATATAATTTAGTAATATCAGGGTTAGGGTTAGGGTTAGGGTTAGGGTTAGGGTTAGGGTTAGGGTTAGGGTTAGGGTTAGGGTTAGGGTTAGGGTTAGGGTCTCAAGCCTTGCAGCGGCCGCGATGAACTCTGCAATTCCGTGTTGAACGACGACTGGGCGTCGCACCCAACCTGGGCCTCTGAAGATTCCGGATTTGTCGCGCATCGTAAGAACGGCTTCGAAGAG